GTGTGAACGCACCATTAACCAATACCGCTTTTGTCTCCTCCTGTGCTGCGCTGCAGCACAAAGGGTAAACAACAATCCATACCAGGCGGTGGCGCTAATGCACTGACAAGTTATTTCCGACCACACCCCCGAATAACAGAAGATCGATGACGGTAGAAGAAGTAACTTGTCGGCAGTTTGGAGATATTTTAAGATCGGCACGGAGGACACCAAACAAGCAGACTGTCTGCTGTGCTCTGCTAAACTGTCAAGGGGAGGAGCAAAAGTTGGATGTTATAACACCAGCAATTTGATTAAACATTTGAGGCCAAGACAAAGAATTCAAAGAGTTTGCTGCTGCTAACAGTAGCCTTCATAAACAGCACTGTATGCAGCAGTTGTTGCAGTAACTTCAATGCTGTTTTTTCTTTCTTGTAGAACAAACTAAGACAAGCGGAATATGGAAGGAAGTTTGTTGTAAAAGCATTTTATTTTTCACTGTGGTTCTTCTGAGTTTTTGTTTTAGTTGTTCCATTTAAGTTTGAGCTGAAATTCACTGCACTTTATTACTATTATTCATTTTTTTTAGTTTAAGACTGAAGCAGAGTAAACTTCTATAGATGTGCTGCTAAAATTTACGTTATAGTTTACATTTTCATTTAAATTCGATAGTTGCATGTTGAGGAAAATGTATAAAAATAACTTATTTTGTTTTTTAATGTGTGCAACAGCATTTGTTTTGCAGTATTTGTTTTGTTAATACATTCAGAGGGAGTGTGGCCTTATAAAAAAGAACCTGTTTGAAATAAAATAAATGGTTTCAAAAGTTATGGTGTGATAAATATACCAACTTATCTACTTGTCAGTGTTTGCACTACCTTTTTATTTATTAATATTTAATTATATGATATATAACATAATATTTTCCCAGCAGTTTTTGCATGATAATTGCATTTCATTTTCACTCTGTTTAATATTCAACAAGTTGAACAGATAATCCACACGAACCCCGCTGCTTGGTATCGGTATCGGTATCAGTGAGTATCTAAACTGAAGTACTCGTACTTGTACTCAGTCTTGAAAAAACTGGTATCGGGACACCCCTAGTGACAACATGTAGTAACAGCAGAGGAGACAACTTGTGACAACATGTAGTAACAGCAGAGGAGACAACACGTGAAAACATGTAGTAACAGCAGAGGAGACCACACGTGACAATGTATAGTAACAGCAGAGGAGACAACACGTGACAACATGTAGTAGCAGCAGAGGAGACAACAACACATGACAACATGTAGTAACAGAAGAGGGAGACAACATGATGTGACAACATGTAGTAACAGCAGAGGAGACAACATGACGTGACAACATGAAATAACAGCAGAGGAGACAACATGACATGACATGTAGTAACAGCAGAGGGAGACAACATGATGTGGCAACATGTAATAGCAGAGGAGACAACATGTAGTAACAGCAGAGGAGACAACAACACGTGACAACAGGTAGTAACAGCAGAGGAGACAACATGACGTGACAACATGTAGTAACAGCAGAGGAGACAACAACACGTGACAACAGGTTGTAACAGCAGAGGAGACAACATGACGTGACAACATGTAGTAATAGCAGAGGAGNAACAATTTACTGGCACTTCACTTAGGTTTGGCAAAGGATAAAGGGTAAGAAAAGGTAAGAAATTTAAGGATTAGTGTTTCTGCTTTTATTCTGGTAAGGTGTACAACCGGTTCAGCACGTCACCTCTGCTCTCAGCTTCAACTTGACACGTCACCACGAACACGTCAGCATTACCTGGTGATGTCTGCTCAAGAACCCCTGGTATGACTGTCTCACCACGACCCTCTAGGAAGCTTGTCCAGCTGGTCCTTGGCGAAAAGGTGTCGTTTAGGTGACTTTTCGTCTGTTTCAGCCCAAGCTAGAAAGATTCCAGCTGAAAGTTCCRGTCGTCTTTCAAAATAAAAGTCTCCCCTCGGGAGTTGAAAACACTTTAAAGAGACCTGGGTCTCTAGGTGGACAGGAGCGGCTTGCTCCTGCCCTGGCCGACAAGCTGACTCGAATTGGCTCTTGAGTCAAACCTGCGGCCCGGCTGTTCTCCGGAGAGAATCAGCCCATCTTCCCGTATCGACATCCAGGAAGGAACTCCTGTCTCTCTCTAAGGCGTCCGTGTTAGTAAGCCAGAGTTGGAGCCTTAGATCCGCCCTCAGTCAGAAAGGAAAGAAGATAAGAGAGTTTGCCAGGTGCCTGTGAAGGTCATGTTCTGTAGCTGTTTTTACACAGACATTATAATAATATCTTCTCAGCTCCTTTCTGCTAGACTGTAAGAGGAATCACTGTAAAACATTTATGATGATTAATTAATATTTCTGTTTAAATAATCAGTCTGAACTTGTGTCCAGATAAATGTAAGATTTTCTTAAGAAAAACTAAAAATTATATTACTGATGTTTCCAGTAAAATAACACAGTGATTTATATAAAGACACAATGAAAACATGGTGATGATTTTCTGTGATTTTATACTATTCATTAATCTTTTTTTTAGGCACGATAAAAGAATAGAAGTGATTCTTTCTTTCTTTGTGACATGTCATTATTATGATTAACAGATGAATAAACATTCTTAGTTAAACACAACTGAATCACGAACAGAAAAGATTATTTCTGTTTAATATCTGATTAGAGAACTGAAGTCCTCCATCCCAGGTTGAAATGACCCATCATGGCCTAAAGTAGAATTCAGTGTTCCTGCCTTCTCCCAGGCCTGTCCGAGACCTGCTTTGAGGCAGTAACTCTTGTTTCTTCACTCGAGGTGACCCCTACACTTGTAATCGCTATTTCAGTCTTTCTATCGTTCTGGTTGCTTCTCTCGCTGTTTTCTCTGTTTTCTCTTCACCAAATAAATCTTTATGGTGTGGAGAGGATGGCTATAAGGGGAGAAGGGAGGCCATCTATAAAAATAAATAAATAACAGCAGAGGAGACAACATGACGTGACAACATGTAGTAACAGCAGAGGAGACAACAACACGTGACAACGTAGTAACAGCTGTGGAGACAACATGTGACAACATGTAGTAACAGCAGAGGATACAACACATGACAACATGTAGTAACAGCAGAGGAGACAACAACACATGACAACATGTAGTAACAGCAGAGGAAGACAACATGACGTGACAACATGTAGTAACAGCAGAGGAGACAACACGTGACAACATGTAGTAACAGCAGAGGAGACAACATGATGTCACAACATGTAATAACAGCAGAGGAGACAACATGATGTGAAAACGTAGTAACAGCAGAGGGAGACAACATGATGTGACAACATGTAGTAACAGCAGAGGGAGACAACATGATGTGATAACATGTAATAGCAGAGGAGACAACAACACGTGACAACATTTAGTAACAACAGATGAGACAAGAGTCGTGGAGGAGACAAAGAGTAGTGGTGCAGGAGAAACTGGCACCACGCCGGCCTCTGCATCTTCTATTTTCCTTTTTTTATTGCTCTATAGAACAACACGCACCAAAAGTAACATCTGGGGTTGGGGATGTGGGTGTCAGGGTCTTTATTCACATCCCGTTCCCCGACTGCCATTTGGGGAGGGGGTCCTGAAGAAGGGCGGAGCGCCGGGTGCGGTCCTGGGCTGTTAGGGTTCGGGTGTGTGCGGCCTCCATTAGGGGGTGGGTACATGTCCTGGACCAGGGGGGTATAGAGTGTGTATCGGGGGTATGAGTGGAATGTGGCGTCCTGAGTGGGGTGAGGATGAGGGTGGGATGGTGCGATTGTGTATGTTTGGGTATTTGTCAGGCTGCAGTCTGGGC